CCCCCCATCCCTCCCTTCCCCCTCCCCTTACTATGCCCTACATCATTTTGAAAAATAAAATTTATAATACCAAAAACAAAGTCGTAGGTTTGTACTAACAATTTAATGAACACCTCTTTATTGGTATCAAAGAACAATCTGCGTAAATTTGAAACTGTTAATGCGTGTAAAAACACTATAACTCATTTAGAGACTCATATAATGGTTCAGTTATTATCGGCGACAGAAAAAAAGCGATCTAAAAGGTTATTCATCCAGCTTTAATTGCATTTTAAACTTTATTGAACGCCTTATAAACGCTTCCAATATTGGTTTAGTTTTTAATGTAAGCTTTGATTATAAAAACTTGGTATTTCACGGTAAAATAAAGGATGGTTTCGTGCGTATCTCTATCCCGAAAGTACGTAACTAAATATAAATAATATATTCAAAATTTTGTTTATCCGCAGATTTGAAAATAATTACTTGGTCTACTAAAAAGTTATATGCTGATATACTGTGCTTCTCATAAATACAACAATTTTGTGTACATTTGATAGCATTCTTGTTTCGAAGATAATTATATTCTGAACCCTTTGCACCTAACATATTTTCCATAACCTTGATCATATTAAGTTAAAAAAAAAAAACGAATTTTAAAACCTTTTATTATAGATTACACGGTAAATGGTTTGCTATCCTCTGAATTCTTAGATTTGTTTAAAATTTTAAATAGTATTAAAGTAATAACTTACAAACAGAAACATGACAAAAAAATAATGAACTACATATTTCATAGCTCGTTGCCTGTATAATATATCAATATATATATATGATTTGTAATTTGCCTGTCTGAATTCTTTTTTATCAATTTTACATCAACACTTACCTTTGTTGTAACTACATTTTTAAAAGGGAAAAATCATTAACAAAAATGTTTGGTATTTAAACTTTAAATTTTAATATGTTTACTTACTGAATTCATTTTTAACATATCAATATGCTATATTTGGTATTAGGATTGGTCTATAATAGATTAAAAAAGTTATCACATAAAAATATCATGATCTCGTACTTATACATCTAAGTCGAAATCATATCATACATAATTTTCATATTACTGTCTCGAAGACTTTTCAATATTCATTAGTCATAATGTATATATATATATAAATTAGATTACACAAAGTAATGGTTATTCCTTAACCTTGTTCATTTTGCGTTATTTTCATTTTTGAATGCATCTTTGAGTTACAAGAGGATTCATTGTACCATTGTATAAGGGTGATGGCTACGGTCATGATACTTAACAAATTTTGAATGAAACAAACGCTCATGATTAAATAACTGTATTTCGACATAATACTGTCTTTTTGAAAGTCTTTTAGATTACAAAATGGTGACTGTTGTGTAATTAATTGTTAGACTATAAAAAAGTAGCGCTACATGTTTTATTCTGTAGTACATGTATCATCATGGTTGCCTGTGCAATAATATAGAATATATATATTCTGAATATCATTTTTTTAAGTTATTGATGTGCCCATTTTCCTTCCTTTTATTATTATTATTTGTACGAAGAAATATATTTACTGATATTTTCAAATAATAACAGTTAGTGAATAATATATACAAACTATTTAGTGACATTCCTTTTGGAGTAGAGTCTACAATAGTATTTATATATAGGTGTAAATATTTATTTCATTATACTGTAATTCGTATAAGCATACAAAAATATGACCGAAATCGAAGAAGCATTTCAGAGAATCAGCCAGCGTCCCAATGTAGTAGGAATTATTGTGGTAGATAAAGAAGGTACACCTATACGTAGTACCATTGAAGACACTATAGTGCAGAATCAATATGCTCATCTTATTACGGCACTAGCAGCCAAAGCTAGGCATTGTGTTCGCGATTTAGATCCGACAAATGATCTTTCTTTTCTTCGTATTCGTAGTAAAAAGAATGAGATCATGGTTGCACCTGACAAGGATTTTTCACTTATCGTAATACAAAGTCTTACTGACATTGCATGACAAACCCTTAATATATGTATTTGGGTATTATTATGATGTAAATTGAAAAGACTGGAAATTTTCTAAGTACAATTTTTATAAATATAAAGAATTATTACTTGCCAATGTTTATACAAATTCTTTCACTACATTTGCCTTCTTATATATATATATTTCACACCTTTTTGTTTGTATTTCCGGTATTTAGTCTTTATTTATTTACTTTGTCAAAAATGCTTGAGGTCTATCGTGTTTTCCTGAAGGTCTTCAGAGATGATTCTATCATTAGCGAATCACTTCTGCCATCTGAGGCGTCATTAGAGAAATCCCCCTTATCACTTTCTGATTTGAGTGCAATGTCTGGCAAAGGAAGAATAGCTGCTTTTAAGGAGTGTGGCATTCACCCGCATCTTTTTCCACCTTTGCTCAGATCCTTACAGCATTTAACTGCCTTAAACAGAACGACTAGTGTATCAAAAGGAAATATGGTTCACGGGAATTTGGAGGCTCGATATTGGAATTATCTTGGCCAAAATCCTTCCCTTATTGGCTCTCCTAGCGTAAACAGTAAGCCCTATTATGAAAAAGTAACTGATATAATTTCATGTAAACCAGACGAAAGCAACTTAGCTGACACATCAAGTTCAAATTTCCTTGTACAATATAACGGGTTGATGAATCAGGGGGCTACATGTTATCTCAATTCTCTTCTTCAATCACTTTTCCATATTTCGGCCTTTCGCTCAATTATTTATCAGATGCCTACAAAAGAAGAATCGATAGAGCTTAGTCAAACCTATCCTCACGGCACAAAATCAATTCCGTACGCGCTTCAACGCCTCTTCTGCATGCTTCAGACAGAAACCGAAGCAGTAAACACAACTGAGCTTACAGAGTCTTTTGGATGGAGTGAGGCAGATAGTTTCATTCAGCATGATGTTCATGAATTGACACATGTTTTACTAGACAATCTAGAAATGAAACTGAATACCCAAAGAATATCAGACAATTTAGATAAAAGCGTTAGAAAGAATGCTATTCATGAAATATTCAATGGCTTGCTTCAAAGCTATATTGACGTTGAAGAAGTGGGATATCACGGAGCGTGTGAGGAGACCTTTTATGATCTACAACTTGTTGTAAAGGATACAAAGGATATATACGCAAGTTTTGATCGTTTTTTCCAGGCTGAAGTTCTAGACGGAAAAAATAAATATTGTTTAGAACGAAATGGGGAGAAAAAATATTACCGTGCGACAAAAGGCGTTAGGCTAAAAGCGACCCCTCTCATTTTGTTGCTACATCTGACACGCTTCGATTATGATGTTCGGCAAGGTGAAATGAAAATATTTTCACGTTGGGATTATTACAGTACTTTGGATCTCTCTGGATATATGCCCCATGTGAAACCCGCTGATACTCATTACACATTATGTAGTGTATTGGTTCATTCGGGCTCCAACACAGGCTTTGGTCATTACTATTGCTTTTTACTCTGTTCTGGTCAGTGGTACAAGTTCAATGATGAAAGGGTAACGCCAGCGTCTTTCAAAGACGTTTATGGGGATAATTTTGGAGGTTATCACCTTAACTATTGGGGTTCTTTAGAACCCCAAGTAAGTACAGCATATATGCTTGTGTACATTCGATCAAGTCAGATGGATTCTTTATTGTGTCCAATAGGCCCTGAAGATGTACCTAAACACGTCATTGATCAGCTGCTGCGTGAGAAGCAGGAAGAAGAAAGAATTAGTAAGGGGAAAAGGGAGGACAATTTTTACGCACATTTCCGTTTTCTTCAGCCACAAGACCTCGTAAGAAAGGGGGAGTTTGCATCTTTACATTGTTCATCCTTGCAAAAGCAGCCATCCCATAGGACTTTGCGTGTTCTTTTAGAGGTAGAAGCTCTCCCAGAGTTTACCTTTTTTGTAGAAAAAGTATTCAATATTCCGGAAAATGATCAACTTCTTTGGTGTGTCACTTCCCCTTCCCATACCAGCAATCGTGATGTGTATATCCAATTGAAACCAGGTGTTAAAGTTGAGGAAATTTTGAAGGATTCGAATGAATGCTACATTTTAGTAACATCTCTTAGAAGTGATACAGTCATAATCTCTGATGAGGAGGATGCTGAGTATCAGCTATTTCATCATAAGCTATATGATCCATTACAGTTAAAGATTCTTTTCATCGGAAGTACTGTTGTCCGCCGCAATAACAACGAGGATGCTAAGGTATCTATCGAAAAAATAGCGAATCGAGTCCGCGAAATGATCGCAATACTACCTGATGACACACAAAAAAAGTACAAACACCATTTACAGAAGCACCACCAAATGCAATCCAATCAGAAAGTTTCAGCTAGCTTTGATGCTCTTAAATGTGCCAATTCCATTGTTGATGGAGTTTGTGAAGATGTTGAGAAGATAGGAATCAACCCACTTCGTGGTATGCCCAATGGGGATATGACTGTTCTTCGTGAAGTTGAGAATCATAGATACACCGCATGCAACATATTACTTTCAGGTGATATATTAGTCTGGCAATTGAAAATTTCTGACAAAGATAAGGATGATGTGTTTTATCCGGATGTGGAATCCTTCCAACATTTTGTACGACATCGCATTCCTGTCGAAATACGACTCAATCAAGCACCTTGTTACCCTACATTAGTGAGCACCGAGCTTGGAAGTAGCATGAGCTACGAGCAGCTTCAGCGTTATGTGGCTCGTATGATTGGAGAACCGGTGAACTACGATTATATTAGATTCGTACGTCATAACCCTGAGACTGAGCTCCCATACTTTATGAAAGCAAAAAAAAAATCCAGATCAACTCTCTCAATGCTTCTAACGCCAGTTTTCCACTCAGTTGAGTACTTTTCGAAGTATATTTATTACGAATATTGCAAGTATCCTGTTACACAAATCGAGGTTTCACATTCGTTAGAGTTTAAACTTTATAGTGATAATGTGAAGGCAATTAGCTCGCATTGGGTGTTGATGTCTCGCGAATGTCCGATTAAGTCGGAAATAATTTTCAGTACTAGTGTAAAGACAATCCAAAAAGACTATGCCACACAGATCCCCTGTAAGACTCAAAACAAGGAGGATAAGACGGAAAACGCCTCTACAGAAGAATTCTGTAACTTTATTATGAATCTCGTTCCCGAAGACGCCTGGAAGGAGTTAAGACTTGTTGACGTATGGAAGGGAAGGATTTACAATGTGCTTGATCATGATCATGTCCTTGTTTTAGGTCATCAAACCTTTGAAGAAAGCGCCGAATATCGCATTGAACGAATTCCTCAGCCAATTCCTGGTATTCTACCCGAGGAGCAGCTTCTTGTACAAGTCCATCATTTCACTTTGATACGTCAGCGAAAGGATCCTGTGGAAACGTATGGAGAGCCTTTTAGTTTCCACGTATTGTACAAAGAATTGCCGAGCGAGTTACTTCGTCGAATCGCACAAAAACTGGAAATCAACTTCGCTGCGGTTGTTGATTGGAAGGTGTGCTTGGTGAAGGAAAATACTGTGTTTGAGGTGGCTGAATTTCCTATGGGAATGCAGCTCGTGCAATTTTGTGCGAAGGAACTATATGAACCAAACCAAAAGGAACCCGTGAAGGCTGCTTTTCTTGGCTTAGATCATGCCCCAATAGCTAAGCGTTTACCTAAAAGAGAGGAGAAGATATTGATCCTGAATTAGGTCTTTCTAGAGTTGGATATCTATTATTATTAACCATCCTTGTTGTTACTACAAAATATATTTATATCCTCATTGGTAATATCAAATCATAATTCATTAATGTCTGTTGTCAGTACTGGATAAGGGATTACGTACATATCGTAGTGTCCATTCTGCAATTCATAAACATCATCTTATTATTGGAACTTTTCTACGCATTTTTAAGCAACGTAAAGTATATCAGTAATTAAGAAGATATAGAAAACAATATATTCACTTATTAATTGATGTCAGAATCTTTTCAACTAGCAGAGGGTGAGCATCGTTACGCCAGAATAAATGTTAGCAAACCTCGTGAGTACTGGGATTATGAATCGTTAAAGGTAGAGTGGAATGGTCCCGATAAGTATGAAGTGGAGAGAAGAATTGGACGTGGCAAGTACAGTGATGTTTTCTTAGCATATGATACAGAGTTATGCAGAAGAGTTTCTATCAAAGTTCTGAAGCCGGTAAAAAAGAAGAAGATCTTGCGGGAGCTGAAAATTCTTAAAATCCTCAAGGGTTGTCCAAACATTGTTGAGCTGTATGACACGGTTCGAGATCCTAATAGCAAAATACCATCATTTGTTTTTGAGTACATTGAAGCATCCGATTTTCGGAGCTTGTTTCCCTATTTTTCAGATTTAGATGTCCGGAATATTATTTATCAGGTCCTCCTAGCCCTGGAGTACGCACACTCACGAGGCATCATGCACCGCGATGTGAAGCCAAATAATATATGTATAGATTTTAAGCAAAAAAAATAAAATTGATCGATTGGGGATTATCAGAGTTCTTTCATCCTGAAACTTCATACAATGCGCGTGTAGCTTCGCGCTACTTCAAAGGCCCTGAGCTTCTTGTTGAACTTCCCATGTATGACTATCGTCTTGATATGTGGTCGCTGGGGTGTATGATGGCGGGAATAATATTCATGAAAGAACCTTTTTTTCGCGGTAAAGACAACACCGACCAACTAATACGTATCGTTAAAGTTTTGGGAACACATGACTTTCAGGTATACCTAAACAAGTTCGACCTGAAGTTGCCAGCTTCCTTGGAAAATCTTTTGATGAGACACACAAAGAAATCGTGGTCTTCATTTGTTTCATCAGAAAATCATCATTTATGCACAGACGTCGCTTTAGATTTTCTGGATAAGCTCCTTCGCTACGATCACACCCAGCGCATTCAGGCAACGGAGGCTTTGCAGCACCCGTACTTCGATCCCGTAAGGGCGCATCTAGAATCTCAAACTGGTGTATCAAATCATGGTAATTGTGACGAAAATGAGCATATTTAATTAACAAAGGGGTTCAAAGTATATATTATTTCTAATTTATGCGGGTAATATTATAATTGAAACAACGGAATATAAAAATAGATAAATTGGTAGAAAATGAGATTCTCATCCAATAATTTACATGCATTTAATTCTATATGTTCAAAACATATATCATAAACACGGTAAACTACTGCAGAATTCTCCTCTTTATGTCCTATTTTACTAGACTACATTCCACTTAAAACTTTAAATTATAGTTTATAAAATGCGTAATTTTCTCTTCTGATATTATCATATTAGTAATCTATAAGCTATGAGATGAATTTCAATAGTAAGCATCACCATATGTTTGATAACAAATTTCAACAGTGCCAAGGATGTCACGAAAGGCATTCCTTATGCTTTTCTCTTTTATCAAAGAAAGATATCGTATCTATTTAGCTTATTTACGCAAACAGTGAACTTGGCATAATTGAATTGGGGGTAGCCGCATACGTACTTGTGTTTAGACACCCCGATTTTTACTCGGTGATAGTATTTTCATCGATGCACACCTTCTTATCATGAATGCTTTACTGGACATAAATATATGATTATCTCGTTTCGACTGATTCAGTTGGAATTCTATCCAATGTTAATATCGAGAGCTCTTTTCCTATTCTGTTTCATTGGCAACTGCACGAAAACCGACTAAATGTGATATGACCCCCTTACGAAAGTATGTATGTGTTTCTGAAAGTGTACTTCTATATGTTGTACCACAAGCAGCTGAATTTATATTTTTTTATCTACTGTATCTTGCAATCATACTTCTTTAGTTTCCCTTTTTTTCTGATGAACGGACATTATCTTAGCTCATTAATTTCAACTCTGTAAGACGTTATATGCTTGTTGAATTATTTACAGGTAGTGTGGTATGCCACTTTTTATCTATTTTACTAGGGAAAATGAACTGAAGGTTGGTTTCATAATTGGTTCTTCCTGAAGTTGTTACAACTCATATGCGTTTCAAAAATCACCATTTGTTGTATTATTATATCCTATGAAAGATAACAAGAAAATACTCAAGACTGTGCGTTTTTTTCCTTACATGAACGCCACAATTTAGAAATGCGTGGGTAACGTGCAACTTGTATTAATCCCATATTACTGTTATGTCCCAAATGCCTTATGAATCAGTTTCCTCAAAGTCAAGTATCCGGAAACAAAATACGTGGTGAGCTTCTAGAAAAGCTGTAAACCCGTTACTAAGGAGCCGAAGAGATGTTGACTTTTCCTCAACTGGACACATTGCGTGTTTGTGTTTAGGAAAACCTTTACTTATCAGAATTCTAAATGCAAATAAAAGGCAAAACATTTTATCCTTGATGGCAATACACCCTCTCCTTTTAGGGTCGTGCATTATTATTATTTTATTTCTGGTCTCTATCACATGTTGATTTTTATCTACTTATTTTTTTAGTTGCGTCCTTACATATTTTTTTCACTCTTCGTTTTCGGTACAGGTTTCGTCTAAATATATATATGATTATAATTGCGCTCCCTCCCTTATTTTATTTTCGCACTGTTGATCATTAGTTTATTTAACTATATTTAAGTATTTTCCCCCTCGTTTAAAATAAAAAAAACTAATAACAACCATAACACACTAATGCACTCATCGGAAGGTGCCAGCCTTTTGCGGCACAATATTGTTTGTAGCATTTTGTCAAAGAAGCCGTTACATATTACCAACATTAATAGCGATAAGGACCCGATAGGGATCCAAATGTATGAGGCCAATTTCTTAAAATTCATTGACCGAGTCACCAGTGGCTCGAGCTTTCAGACCCAGGACCACAATACGTCCCTGGTCTTCACCCCGGGGATGATTCTGGGTGGGGTCTTTTCGCACGAGGTCCCTTCCCCCCGTTGTGTTACCTACCTCCTTGAGGTCGCCGTCCTGTTGTTGCCATTCGCGAAGTTCGATTCCCGTATCACTTTCGTGGGTGCAACACAGGGGGCGCTCGACCTCTCCGTGGACACCTTTCGCACCGTCACCACCCGTTGGCTTCAGCTCTTTGGCCTGCAGTGCGGCATTCGCACCATTTCCAGAGGGGCCACACCGGGCGGGGGAGGGGCTGTCATCCTCGAGGTGAAGGCTCTGCGAAAGATCAGCTACGCCGTGAGTGAGTCCCGCGGAAGGGTGCGGCGTATACGCGGGATTGCCTTTGGCTGCCGAACCGCACCCGACCTCCCGCAGCGCTCCGCGACGACGGCGAAAGGGTTTTTGCTGAATTTGATCCCGGACGTTTACATCGTCACGGACGTGGACGCGGGCGGCTCCAGACGGAACGAAAGCAGCAGCGGGTACGGTGTGATGCTTGTCGCCGAGACAACCGCCGACCGCTGCCTTCTTTCCCAGGAAACCGTTGCCCACGCTGGCGAGGCACCAGAGGAAGTTGGACGGCGTGCGGCTGAGTTACTTTGTGATCAAATCTACGAAGGTGGCTGTGTGGACGGGCATCACCAGATGATGGTGTTGCTGCTGATGGCTGTCGCCTCTAGTGATGCACCATCTTCTATGCGGTTTGGCAAACTCACACCAGGGGCCGTTTCGATAATGGTTCTGATCCAGTCTTACTTTGGCGTGACGTTTGGCCAAAGAGAGGAGGAGTCTTTTGCAGGAAGTAAATTCCCTCCAACTAACTTAATTACGTGCTTCGGTTCAGACCTTGTGAATGTCTGGAAGAGGTCGAGCTGAGTGCTCTTTAAAGGGAAAGCTGCATTTCCTGCCCATCTGCTAGTTCTAATAACACAAGCTTGTATAATTTTACACGCTTTTTTTTTTGCTGCCGTGTGTACCCAAGTCGCTTTGCATATCAATCCACGTGTATTTAGTAAAGCGACTGTTAATGTTTCAATATTCTTTCGTATCTATGAACCTCAAGCGCTATTTTAACCTTGTGATGCTTTTCTATGCTCTCGTGTTTTTTGTTATATACGTAATGATGTAGTTTAATCAATAATAACGAAGGTACCCAAGACTATGGATCTCGATTTTTCTCACAAAGGACTTTTTATTTTTGATGCGTCCGAAATTAGCAAAGGCTTAGAGGGCTGCATTAAATCCTCTGACGAAATTGAAAGTGTTCTGTCAAAGTTCCTTGAGCATGCCCCATCTGTCAAGGCTATTAACCTTTCGAACAATTCGATTCATAGGTTTATGGGCGGCAGAACATTGAGAACAGTGACAGTGTTGGACCTTGCTTTTAATTCACTTACAACGTTGCAAAGTAGTAGCTTGCCACCTGCTCTTGTGAAATTAAACCTTTTTCATAACCAATTGACATGTTTAGACATGTTAGATCGGTTTCTACCGTCTTTGGAAGAACTTAATGCTGGACATAATGCTTTAGCATCAGATGGAATAAGAAACCTTCCAGTCGCGTTACTCAACCTTAATTTACAGTCGAATAAGTTGGAAGACTTAGCTTCATTATCAACAGTTAAGCGACTCGTAAAGCTTGATTTATCTGAAAATAGACTAACGACACCTGGTGAGCTGGGTGTGCTCAAAAGTATGTCTTACTTGCGATATTTAAGTATTCAGGATAACCTTTTCACGCAAGATCCCTTTGATCTGCAAAGCATAGTTAGAAATGTGGCCCCGTGGATTTTAAACCTCAACGGCGTTCCCCTTTCACATGTTGAGGGCAATAAAATTCAAAGAGATGTGAATGCGAAATTAAGAGAAGAGCGTATTACCCTTAGAACGCACAGGAATCGATCTTGCAGTCCATCGAGAATGCATATAGAGCCTTGCATACCTTCTACTCACTCGACTGCCGGACCCAAAATCCAGTTTCATATGAAGAATCAATCAACAAAAGAGTTTTTGGTGGAAACTAAACTTAAAGAACTTGAAAAAATGCTGGCCAAGTCCCAGAAAGAGGAACAACAAGCTTTCAAGCAACACGAACTTCTTCTTAATCAGGTGAAAGGGTGCGCAAAGGTTATCCAAGATCAAGCAGAACAACTGGAAACATTACGAAAAACGATTAGCACACTAAAAAAAGACGAAGAAATGCTTAAAAAGTCCACTTCTGAAGCTGATCGAGCATTCGAACAAACCCACGTGTCTATTCTAACCAATCAATTTACCAATTCAACCCACTCATGAGTGCATAGATATCACTAAAATATAGAACTCCTATCTTTTCGGGAGACTGATGCCAGAAATGGCAAGCTGCTTATTATTTACGTATTCCTCCCTCCAATCTGGCTTGTTTACGCAAAGGCATATGGAAATGTACCATTGGGAATTTTTTCTCTTATTTTTATTGATCCTAACAACAAAACTGAAAGACGCACGAATCTTTATCAGAGTATATATTTTTTCTAGATTATACTGTTTTCTTCGTCTGAAGCAAGGATACCGCTTTCCATCCTTTCGCATTTTCTTCTGTTTAGTCTATATTTAATCGCTCAAGTGCACCAGAAACAACACTTTGTTGTGCAGAGCTTCTTTGAACGTTTTACTTGCACTCTATTTCTAGCAAGGTGGCCGAAAAGGCGTACTGCGAGTTTTCCCCAAATCCAAGCATCATTGTGGGATTTTTTTTTTAGGTACGACAGCTTCCTATCTGGTATATTTGTGCATCGTTAATTTTATATCTTCTATGGTCATCAACTGAAAACATACTCATGTAGCTTGACCTTCGCAAATCTCGATCGTATAATTCAGAGTATTATATATACCTTGTGCTCAGGTTTCATTTCTTTAACTTTGAGGATAGAGAAGACGTTGAGTTTACAGATTGCTACTTGAAGCCACCCCCCTCCAATGATGTGCCTGATGTTTTAATTATTTGCTCATTTTCACTCACTACCTCTCAGGAGGTTCGATATTTTGTCATGTTTTAATGATAGCTGTGTTTACCGTAGTCAATAATCTTAAAGCTGAAAATTTTTTTTAATTGAATAACTGAAAGTTACTCAAAATATCTCATTGCTACCATTCAACGTACTGGGTGAACTAAGGTAGAACGACATGACTTTAACTCTAGATGAGATTATTCACAGCATGCGCCGACGCCATCGGTGTATTTTGAAGGAGCGTATCCTTTGAAAAGTTTCATACAACATTTCGAATGGTTACCTATTTGTAGGCTTTCCTAATGATGACAAAAAATGAGTACTTTCATATTCCGTCCCTTAAATGGTTTGGGGCGATTGGTATTCGTTATCAGATAAATTTAGCAGCATTTATAGTATATATATTAATTAAGGGTTCTCTTGAGAAAATCTTTATTTTTTATTGATTTCCCCCCCCCTTTTTTTTTGAAGGGTAGCTTTTAAAAGTAAAAAATATACTTTCCATCCCACTGTCTTTTACGGTATTTTATGTTTAACTTATTCTTAGATTCCTTCATTTCCATTTTTTCTGCATATCCCTTCATTAGAGAGCGTGTGTACGGAAAATTTATAACTCGCGTAAAATGAAATTCTTACCGTTTAATAGTCGTTTTCTTAATTATTTTAATTACTTTATATTGCCTCATCTAAATCCGAGATCCCATTTATTTAAAAAAACGACCCGACTTTTATGCCTTTTTTTTCTTTCTCCCTTTTTTATTATTTCCTTTTTATAGTGCGCATTAACAGTAGTCATGGTCAGCATTAAGTGTGGATCCCGCCGCAAGGCGCGGCGTGCGCACTTCCAGGCCCCGAGCCATGTCCGCCGCATCCTTATGAGCGCCCCGCTCTCGAAAGAGCTGCGCGCGAAGTACAACGTCCGCGCGATGCCCGTGCGAAAGGATGATGAGGTCCTCGTTAAACGGGGTTCCTTTAAAGGCCGTGAAGGAAAGGTC